CGTTTATAGCCAAGGACAGACGTTTAACGCTAGTAGTTAGCTTATGTTTCTAAGCCTGTTCTTTTTTTCTCCCCAGTTGCTTGAGCAGTGAAGATGACTGTCATACCTACTTGTGGAGTGACACAATCTGGTTGCCTTTAGCTGTCAGTCGTCTCAAACTGCTTACGGCCGTTGGATTGCAAGCTTCTCTCATGATCATCATCATCAACAGCAGTACATCAGCCATTTGAACTGATGCTTCGCTGCCATACAATCATGAGGACCTAGGAAATAAAGAATAAGAAGAGGGAGAGAAGGGGGACTTACCTGAAAACCTTAATGCCCTAAGCAAACATTCAGGGTCAAGGCGCCTACACCTTGTGTAGACAACATTCCGTCACAAACAGCTGGCTATCTTGCAAAGATAAGGCGGCATCGGCGAGACAGCTTCCTTGCGGCTTTCACTGCCCCGCGTCATAATCAGCCATTACCCCATTACATTATAGGCTTAACTGGCGTGTCCGTTAGAACTGACGAGAGCCTCAACCGTTCCGGCAGTCATCAACTTTATTATTTTTCAAGATAGTTCCCAGTTATGCGAACGGGGTCCACGGGCGTTTCCGTCACTTGTGGCGCTAATGTGTTGTACTCACCTTCGACAAATGTTGTCTGCTTTTATCTAGTGTAGCGTTAAGTTTATTTTATCCAGGTAAACTACATAAATTTATCAACTTTATTTGATCGCTCGTGTCCTTTTGTTTTAGTTCATTTGATGGAACTAGTCCCCTTAATTGTCTTATCTACGACACTTATTTTATGACCCAGATTCTACAGTCGCTTTTGCTTTCCACAACGCCTTAATGAGCATGTGCCTGTTTCGAGTATCTTGGCAGCAACTAAGCGTGACTTGACCGCAATGCGGAGCCCTTTGAACATGAACGCTTATGTACTCATCTAAGTGATGCTCCTTAGTTGTCTACGCCACACTGAGACGTTCTTTTCATTCGCTGTGCATGGTAGGTCCGCATCCTTATCTGCGCGACTTCATACCCCTATGTCAGCTGTACGCCGTAACGGCGCTTCGCTGCCGTGCGACCACCACCAGTCGCAAGCGGCTGAGTATACCGCGAGGACGCCCACCCCTACCCGGATTCGAACCCGCGCCACAAGAGTAGGAGACAAGCTCGTTACCTCTAGGCCAGCCATTCTCAACGGGGGCCATTGGGAAGTCCCAGGTGACCCTGGGATGCGAACATTTTTTAGAGGGGCCGTGATAACACAATTAACAAAATTCATTTAAAAATAATTTTCTAATAGTTTCTCCGCGCACTAATCCCCACTGGTAACTACAGGTCAGTGAAATGAATTACGCGCGCGCACGTGCTTGTTTACGAAGGTGTGTAAGCCAGGCTGAGCCGACTTTCTGTTGCGGAGCTGGCATAGCCCCGCCAAACTTGGCTGATTTCGCCGGGCTCACCTTAAACATACCATCACCACACGGAGACTTTGAATGTGCAACTAACAACCGATTCGTCCTCAGCACTTTGAAGCAAATCCACAACTGAGCTTTACTCAAAACACTGATGCATTTATTCTGCAAGCTGCAGTGAGCCTAGCGAACCCTCGTCAGTAAACTGCGGCAGTTACGACACAAAGCCACATTGACACTAACTGTTTTTCTCAGCACACTACCACTGTGTGACACTCATGTGCCAATGAGTCTTCCTCGTTCCGGTCTTACTGCGGTAGTGCTAGGTTACGCGTTTTTCCTCTCCTGTCTCAGCTGTCAGCGTTCCACCACTTTGTATTTCTAATGGTTATAAGGAAGGGGTTTTATAAAATTATCGGTCTGAAAACACATTTAACTGACGTTTAGAATAATGGAACATCACTGTCTGAGCTCGCGTGTATGTCTGGCGTTTGCCACCTTAGCCCGCAAGTTTATGAATTCGAGTGGCTACTCTGCGCGCGTGGGGTACTATCTTACGGGGGGATATCCGGTTCGTTTTGTGAGTATATATAACCCAATGTGTATATAAGGGTGCTTCTTATAACTATAATAATCAAATGCCTTGCCAGCACGCACTTGGCGCCATGTTTGGCACTGGTTGATGTGCGTTATTCGCTACGTTGTTGACACTCCCATGCCGGTTCCTTGAACCCTCCGGCATTTTCTTCCATGTTTATTTCTTCTGTCCTTTATTTTACCTGCTACCACGGTTTGCCACAACTTTCCTGTAGTGTATGTGTATCTAGTGAGTATTGCCATTTTCTCAGTTTCATTTGTTTTCCTCATTGGCTTTTGTCATTCTGTCATTTTAGCCATCCGCGATATTTTCAAAGCCATCCTCAGAAAGCGCTTTTGCGTTGCCTCTAACAGTGTTTCTACAGCTATACATTCTTTTTTACATTGTAGCCCTCAATAGAAGTTTCAAGTATGCTTGCCAAACGTCTATTCTTATAATCTCACGGTCAAGAAACAAGTAATTTAGTGCCACCAATTATTAATGCTACCTGCGTGTTTCGCCTTGTCGAATGATGTTATTTACTGCACATGATGTAACTGTGTATGAATATCAAAACAAAAGCTGTATACGTATATTGCATATTTACAATGACATATTTCAGACATCATCTCCTCGGCAACGAATACCTTTCGGCAGTACTCCGTAGAATACCCGTCATTTGATTTCATCGCATCACTTCAAAACCCCACTCTACCTATGTGTTTAATTTGCCAAAACACTTTCAAATGAAAGTATGCGGCCACCTAAACTGGAAACTCATCTGGAAAGTATTGATAAGAGCGAAAGCGGAAAGTCTGGCTTTTTTTAGAAAGCTGCGGGATAGCAACTTTAAAGACAAGGGCTTCTGACAGGGCAAAAACAGCAAATGGACTTACGGCATCTTATAAAATCAGAAAATTAATTGCCATAAATTGCAATCTACATAATCTTGGGGGAAATATTAGCTTGCCTTCAGTATCAATAATACTGTCTAATGCGGTTTAAGCCATTCTGCTCAGCCACTCCACTGTATCTGAGCGAATAAATGAGATGGCTCAGGACATGCAAAATACCTAAGTTAACTTACTACAGCTCGGAAAATTTTCGTCACTACTGGATTAATCTATTTTATATGATAACGACGCTTCTCGCTACATATATTCGATTCTTCAATGATAATGTATTAATGAAAGAGATGCTGCTTGCCAGGATATCTAAAACTTATACAAAGGGCCAATCTATATTCGAGGTAGTCAATGGCTATCTGCCTGAAAACTCCATCACAATGCAAAACATAGTTGCAGGTGCAACAGGTGGTGCTACCGCAATGGTCGGAAGATATAGAGGATTCATTGCCCATCTAAAAAGAGTTCTCCCTTCTGCTCATACAATTCACTGAGAGCATCTAGTGGCTAAAAACGTGGGAGGGTGCTTAAACGATTCCCTGTCAACATTTATAATAGTAGTTAACAATATCATTCCGCATCCTTTTCAAGATCCTCTTTTTCAGCAGTTGTGTGAGGAGAACAGTGAAGATTTCCAGGTTCTACTTTTGCATACAGAAGTTAGATAGCACTCTAAGGGCAACTGTATTCGCCGTTTTGTTGCACTCTGGGCCACCATCATCACATTCCTTTTTGGAACTGATTATGAAAGAAAACTGTGTACAGCTAAGCCAGATGTGTTTTATCTGGCTGGTGATTTCGTGAAACTCCACTTACTGTATAAAACTCTTCAAGGCAAGTTGAGTAACCTCATCTCGAGCAAACATCGAATTATCGCATTTCTTAAAAAGCTGGAAGTACATGCTCAGAACATCGGACCTCGGGAATTTTCACAGTTCCCAATTGCTTGTTTATGCCAGTCATATACAAGAACTCCGAAAAGAAATGAAGGACAGCTTTCCTGACCAGATTCACATGGAAATCCAGATTTAGATTTTGGATCCATTTGGTGTACAACCCTGCTATGTTGGAGCTGAACTTCTGGAAAGTCCCATAGAGCTTAAGAATGACACACTAGCAAAATCCAAATTCACGCTATATAAGAGGGTTTTTTGAGATACTGATGCCCCAGATTGTGGAAAAAAGCTGAAATATATTTCCTTGCTTTTCCATCCACATACATGGTTGAATGTGGATTCAGCAGACTGATTTCTCTAACAAAAAGTAGAAACAGATTGGACATCACAGCAAGAGGAGATATTCGACTTTCGCTGTCAAGTCTGGAGCTGGACGCAGGCAAACTTCCTTAAGGTCATCCGGATCAAGGATCGCATTAATATCCCGACAAACATTTTGTTACCAAGTTACTACACCTAATTCATGACGTTCCTTAGTTAAAAGCCAACAATAAGTAAATACAATTTTACATCTTAATGATGACTCTTGTGTAATTAAAGACAAGTGGCTTGGTGTTGCCGCACAATGAATGTTATCTTGAAGCTGTGAAAGTAAAAAAGGGGTTTATGAAGAAAACAGTAGTGATACCAACACTACAAGTTTTGCCATCATAACCAAAGATGCCAATATGACCAATGGAAATCACAGATTTACGTCTGTTAGGCGTTGCGGATTGCTGAAGTTCTGGTGATCAAGGTTGGGCCATAGGAAATGGAAAGGTTCAAACGGGGGCGACGGTTGAATAAAGCTTGAGGATGACTGCTCTAGGTTACGGGCCGACACTTTATACCCCTACTTCTTACTGTGTTCTTACTCTCCCCTATTTATCGCTGATTTGTGCTAGCACACCGGGTTAATCCACTCATGGGCGAATTATATCCCATGAGCTGTAAACAAATCCATTCAGCCTCCGTTACACACGACTACAGTTTTCCGTTCCCAACGCTTATTGCTATCGCTTTTCATATAGCAGAAATGACTCGGTTGTTCCTCAAATTACAGCTCATCGGTTCGGTTCCACGCATTGTAGCAGAGTTTCACTTGTTACTGTCCAATGAGGTTGTCCTCTCTAAGTCACACCCGCCTCTTTTGTTCCTCGTTGTGTTTCTGTCAGATCGTTGTCCCAAAACTTCCAAGTAAAGCCTGGAAGCGACAATTGCCTTTCAGAGTTGATGAGGGTATTTTTGAAGATGATTTCATAGAAGAACGCCGCAAAGGCCTTGAAAGCTTCATTAATAAGTAAGCGTTTCTTCTGTTGTCGGGCTTCCGTGACTACCTTCACACATTTTCAACGTTTTGGCCATCATTTTTTGCACACGATGCGCTTTATGCTCCGGTACGATCCTTTCTTAGCACAATACTAGTTACACCATGTTATAAATCACTTATTTTGGCCAATGATGCTTAGCTTCATGAAGCGGACCATCTGCGAATCGAGCTACTTTGTCCCCTGGAAACTATTCTCTATTGCTCGAAAGCTACCACAGAGCCAACTTCAGTGGCTCCTCTTGGCTTATGTTACTTTCATTCAACCTTATTTCGTCCTTTTGACCGTTTACAAAGCAATGCCAGCTTTGTTGTGGTGGTTAGGGCTCGTCACTGCACCTACTTTATACCTATAATCTTATTGTATTTCTCCATTATCACGTGTAATCAGTCGGTTTGGCCATTCTGGAATCCGATTCCGCGCCCACTCGTACTTGGCTGTCACCTAGGCGAAAGCACAAATAACCTACAAATTATTTATTCTTCTTGAATCACAGCTTACGGTTGCTGGTCGGATTCACCCAAAACGTTCTTTTGTACTAATGTTACCCAAACTGGTTGGTTAATCTGCTTGCCTACTTGGCACATCGTTTCCCGTCGACTGGCTATCAATTGGTGGGTGGTTCACATACTCCTCGATATGGGTTTGCATGTTGCTCTGAGACTCATTGCAGTTTTAAGCCTCTAAGCTAATGTTGGCTTGGTTGGCCGTGTGTCTCTTGCAAATGATTATTCCGCTGGAACAAGCTAAAGTGCCATCGTAAGCTGGCCAGTCTCGTTCATCGATCTTTGAGTATAAAGTTGCCAGTGGCTTCTACTCGCAAAGTAACTCCCACGGTACCACACAGTAACCAATAAATCTGCAATCTAGAGAACCATTATTTTAGACGGCCGGCTCGTAGCCTTAAGGACCACCAGCCTGCCTTGTAATCCGAGGGCGCGGGTTCGAGCCTGCGTAGGGACCGGGCGACTCTCGCTGTATCCGTAGCCAGCGTGCGACTGGTAGTGCTTGCGCGGCAGCGAGGCGTCGGTACTGCTTACCAGCGTATTGCTGATGCCTTGTTTTAGACGGCTTTTATCTATTATTTGGATATGGCCATACGTTAATGTCTACTCTTCCGCCACATTCTTATCTTATCAGTGCCGCGCGCTTTGGTACGTGCTTCGCACCTTCAGAGTTCATGGCTTGATCAAGTTAGCACCAGTTCTCAGTTCAGTTGATTAAGTTTAACCAGCGCAACCTAGCGCCTTGCGTTGTCTTGACACACGTCATTGAACTAAGTGTAGCAATAAGAATATTAACTAAGTATGGTAACTCAAGAGATGAACACTAGTTTGAATCTCTAAATGTGGGGTATACAAGGATCCTAAGTACAGAAACGAATTCTGAAGCACCATACTTCAGGGCTATACCATATTGGACAGTGTCAGAAAAGTAAGAAGAGCCTACCCGATTCAGCGTTTCGGCCAGTTTCTTCATCATCTTTTGCCATACCATTCGCTGGCGTCCCCGGTGTTTCACCTAGCCGTGCGCAGTAATGGTAAACAGCACTTACCGAGGCAACCGGCTTGCAAGCATGCGTAACACCTAACCAAGCCAGCGAATACGATTTGAGCCAAACAAGTTCTCCTACGAGCTGTCAGTGTGTCCACCGTCAGGCTCCAATTAGTTTTCTATTTTCAACAAACAAGTTAGTAGGTGCATCCATCGAACACTAAGACAGAACACGGATAGGTAACCGGGGACCATACTGGTCGGGTATCGCCCGCACCCGAATGTATGGTGAACATTGTGGGTTTGCCTGTTTACTTTTATTGAGTAGGGGGTATGCATCATGTGGTATTTTCTGTTTTCAATATCATGAAAATAGAAGTGATCCAAAGATGAAACATTCGGCGGAAGAGCAAACATGGAAACAGTGTTCTCCACCCTACAAACCGCTGGGAGCGCAGTTGCGCTATTGCACTCTATGCGCCGGCTCATCCGTGTTGAATGTCCACCGAGAGTGGGGTTACGACGCAATGCTGCTTAGGGCATCTGCATGATAGGGCACAGATTGACAACCGTACACGTCCTCTCATGAAGGCATCCTAATATGCTGTAAAACCCATAATAGCAGGAAGATACAGATCGAAAGTATCCCAGGGACTCAAGCCCAAGCGCACAGGCCCGATGCGGATCTAGCGAACATATATCCTCCTCCCGAGAGGAGCAGGGTCGAATGAAGAACCGGGAGGTCCACACAAGTTTCACGGCTATCCACTATCGTCTATGGAACGGACATGTTGACACAGTCTGTTTCATGCTTGACATCTTTTTCATCCCATCCTTAGTTCACCCGATCCCCCGTGACGAATGCCACGTCAATCGCCACTACGCTTTGGTCCTTATGCATAACCAACTCCGGCCCCGAACCCGTAGAGATAACTGGCCCAATGAGAGTGCGAAATTTGCGCAGTCGCACAAGTTGATTGCGCTGATACACCTCTTGATTATGACGAGACCACATGACATGATGGGTAATGCTGCGTTGGTTTAGTCTGTGACTTAAGGATTCGCTTCTTCCACAGGCACATTTACAGCTCCTATCTGCTGAAGTCCTTGTAAACGGAACACCCGTAACTGTGTAGCTCTTATACACATCCGTGAAAGCACATGCTCGTGGTACTTGATCTATATGTTGCTGGTGTTGTTGTGTAGCCTCGGTTGGATGGATCGACAATGTGACAATTTCTTCAATGACTGAAGCCAGGCATCAGCGAGTTCTGCTTTTGAGCGGATCACTTCCTTATATCCATTTTGACGGGCAGGTTGGCGCTACGAAAAAATCGCAAATGATTCAATGTGAACTGGCTGCCGGAACCACTCATATGCGTAATTCGCCAAATGAGTAAACTTATTTCTCTGGTCGAAGGGGATTTCAGCAGCCATAGATGGAACACCAAGTCCTCCATTATCATTTCTTGAATAGTACTAGGCTATGGTTGTGTCGTTGGGGAGACGAGTCCAGCGTCGTACTACCCCACGGATCATTCGGTCCACACTGCTAAGTGTCTCGGGGGAATTGCCAATGACCTCGAAAATCGGTTTGGTTCAGGGGTTCTGTGGTGATTCACGGAAGTGGCTGGAAAACTCGAGTCACTTGAACTGACTGGGTCATGCTATTCCCACGCATGCTGCTGCTGCTGCTGGTATTAATGTAAAGTTGCGGGATGTCATTCAGAAATTTATGAAACTTCTTGAGGGAATCACCCTGTTTAGTGCCATCACCGTGGATGATAGCCTCGGAGTCAGCTATCTCATTGGTTTGAGGTCCAGTCTGACATTACGCAATCATGCAGCCGGTGGCGCTCCTGGATTCAACTGTTTACCCAATCCGATTAATGTTACTTTTTCGTCCACTTGTCTTTCCGTTTCACTTTGCGTTCCACCTCATTTCCCTGCCATTATTACTACGGAGACACATGTACTAGTGGTCGTGTTTTCCACATTTCAGTGCGGAATTCGTAGTTGGTTGATTCAGTTCAGTGTAGTTGAACAACTATGATCCGTGCACCCAAGTGCGGTAGATCCAGTTGCAACCCTCCTGTCGCAAGAATAACAATAAATAACACCTGTAGAACAATGGGTTTGGGTGCGAATAGAATGCAGAAAAAATAGAAGCAAAGTATTACGGTAGACTAATCATAAGGGAACGAAAATTAACAACTAGATACAAGAAACCGAATGCAGGAACGCCCTGGACTGCGTGACAGCGTCATGTCTGATACGGTCTCCAACTATTGGTGCGGACCGTCCTGAGGTCCCCATCCAGGAAGACAGCATACACCAGTCTGACCAAGTCTCTCAGTGAAATTCTCGATACCACGTCATGGACTGGCCACGTCGCGGTTTCGCCCAACTTAGTGCAGCCACGGTGTATAATGCACGCCGAGTAAACCGATCGACGGGCATACGGAGGACATAGCCTAGGCGTTGGAAGCGACTAAAATTCTGCAAATACTCGGATGAGGCACTAGAAGGCTTTTTTATCAAAAACTAACTAGCAGACTTTTGCATTGCTCACCCTGTGTTCCCAGCAGACGTGAGCAATACTCTGCAAGCACCGTTGGTCAAATACGGCCAAGCGTTTAATGTATTCGCCGCGGACTGGCCAGGCCTCTGATCCATAGAGTAAGACCGGCCTTACCGCAGCGTTATACACCCTACCTTTTGCTGACAAGCTCATATCCCGCCGTCTCCTCTGGATAGCCACGCGGACCTTGCTGATACGCGAACTAATCTCTTCAGTGATATGATCACCAGGGGTGATACAGCTGCCAAGGTTGATCAAACTGTATTAATTTGTGTCTCTGACAGACCAATACCTACACAATGCTCAAGGACGATCGAGCGCTGTACTATCCAACTAGTCTTAAGATTGCTGTTATTAGCGTACACGTCAAACTTACCAGTAATCACTTTGCTATCTCATTATCACTACAAGTAGTTTCGAATACGGTCCCGGACGTTTGCTACAAAGCAAATAGTGGCCACATTATAGGTTACGCGTCGCCATCCAGACACGACGGTACTCTAAAACCCAACAACAAATTCAGTAATTTCTTGTGCATCTGTTTTGTGACTTCCCGTTCTCCTATTCTAATCAGCTAACCGGGCCGGAGTCCGTTGGCTTAATGTTGGTTGGCTTTCTGTATTGCGCGCGAACTTTTCGAACCATTAGTTCAACGCATCTTTTAGCGCGTGACTGTTTCCATGTCGACCGTGCAACATTTGTCTCCCTATTCAGTTGTCCTGTCTGTCATACCCCACCATCCTGATGCATTTCATCTTTGCATGGCCTACCATTTACCCGGTTCACGGCGGCTTGTAATGGGCCTGTGTTGCAATTATACGGCTCGGGTGCTGATAACCCCAGCGATATCGCACACTCAACGACTCGAGATGATATTGACATTGATCAGACCACATAGTTGGACTGCACCTCGAAACACCGAGGAATATAACATTTATCATTTATCATTTGAGCTACTCCAAATTATAAGCAAATTTCATCTATCTCGTGAACTACCCTGTCACTGATGTCACAGGCATTTCGTGCCTTCAGCCATGCACGAGATTGGCACAACATACTCTTGGCTGTGCACCTTACTGTAAATGACTGCAGCGCAGCCTGGTGGTCTCATCGTGCGTCAGATATGGAAGTATCTCCTGTCCTTGGCAACCATCGTAAGTTATTCCATCTGATACGGAAAACAGGCAGCAGGAGACTTGGTCTGAACGAGACCACACGTGGCAAGAGTGGGCAGCCAATCCACTGTTTGTCGAAATACTTGCAGCGTTTGGCCCTAACATTTTGAGAAGCAATTGAATCAGTCAAAGTTGCCATCTCTATCAGCCATTGATTGCACTTCTCCCTGGGTCGTCCCGTAGCTTAAAGGTAACAAGCTTGTCTTTTAATCTGACGGCGCTGGTTCGAGCCTGCGTAGGAGCAGGGCGACCATCACAGTACCCTTAGCCCACATGCGACCGGTGGTGGTTACGCGGCAGCGAAGCGTCGATACTGCATACCAGCGTACTTCTGATGCCTGGGCCGTCCCCTTGGATCCGCCTTCACGCGCAGAAGTCGAACTTGAGATCAGACTGTTGAAATTGAGTAAAGCTGCAGGAGCTGATAAACTCCACCCAGCCCTCTTCAAATCCGGGAGACCTGCTCTTATCTTTGATGTGCATAACTTACTAGTGAATCTCTGGGAGCGGGAAACTGTCCCAACAGACTGAGGCCGCTCCGTTATAGTCCCAATTTTCAAGGGAGACTCCCGTCCCGAATGCGGCAGTCATCGGGGAATCGGTGTAATCTTAATTACTAAATTGCCTCTGTCATCCTCCGTAGATTGACTGGGACCCGTGAAAGCCAGCTGCGCGAGAAGCAAGCCGAGTTTCGTCGAAATCGAGGCTACATCTTCACATTACGTCAATGGTTGGAGCACCGTCATGTATCTTGGCGACCCATCTTAGGCGTGTTTTTAGACATCAAAGGGGCCGTTGATTCGGTGGATCGATGTGCCGTTCGGAACTGTCTATTCAGCGTAGGTGTGCCCGAGAAATATGTAAATATCATAAGCGTGCTGTACGCGCATAGTTCGGGCAGATTGAGGGTTTATGGCAGACTGTCGCGGCCCTTCAATATCTCCAGCGGTTTGTGACATTGTTGCCTACTGTCACCTTTTCTATTTAGCTTCGCCATTGACGAAGTCATAGAAACGGCGTTCACTGAACACTACCTGCATGGTGTGGAGCTGCTCCCAGATGATCGACTCCTTGATTTGAAGTATGCCGGCGACATTGCCCTAATCTGTCACAGCTCCCAAACGTGCCAAGCTGCACTGGATAAATTAACTCGGCCTATCAGTCTTTTCGGGCTATGCTTTGCACCCTTGAAATGTAAAGTCCTCCAAGGTTGGTAGGGACCCACTCATGTACTGACCCTTGGTGGTGATCAGCTAGAAGTCCTCCAGTAATTTAAATACCTCGGTAGCTACATTAGCACCCATAGTATTGTAGATCAGATCACCCACCGTATAGCAAAAGCTCAAGGTGCTTTTGCCGATCTCCGCCACCTGTGGCACCTGTGCGACATCACTCTCTCCCTGAAGATCAGAGTTTACAGTGCAACTGTGCGTTCAACCATCCTATACGGTTGCGGAACCTGGTCCATCTTATCGGCAGACTTGAAGTGGCTCGCTACCTCCGACCACTGCTGCCTTCGCAGCTTAGCTCATGTCGGGTGAGAGCACCGCGTGAGCAATGACCGTGTTCGGTGTCGCGTATTTGGTGCAGGAAGAGTGGGTGAACCGCTCAGCACCGCTATATCACTCACCGGGCTCTGATGGCTGGGCCACATGTTACGCATGCCAGCTCATCGACTCCCTCGTCGTGCGTTGTTTGCGCGCTGGGGGTGTGAGCGGAAGAAGAAAAGGGGAAGCCAAGCGATGACTTGTTTAAAAGCAATGAAAGTCCTCGCATGGAACTTGGCGTCGGTTGGTGTCTGCCGACTGTCAAGCTAAAGTTCGAATGATGATGAACACGTTTGGTTGGATACACTAGTTGACATTGCAGGTGGCCAACCTTAATGGCGTTTGTCTTGGGAGCTTCTTTATCCCTCCCCTCCCCTTGTCTTCCCACTCCAACGACGACCTCATACCCTGTGCGTAATATAATATTTAGCATTGTATTACGTTTTTACTTTTCTAGTTTGTAATGTCAATTATCTCATCTTTTTTGTACGTGCTCACAACAGTTGATGTTTGCTTCTCATCAGCCAACGTGTAATGACGATGATGATGCAGTATGGCCTGGTCGTGATCACGCGCATGCTTGCCATTGTTTCTCGTGGTGTACACGAATCTTCGGTCGAATACCTCTTAGATATTTGTTTTGGCCATATTCAACGGTAACGTCTCAGGCTACCGAGAGCTCACGCAACACTTGCTTTTTGTGTCTTCAGTCATAGTAGCCTTATCTGCATCACTGGCTGAAATTCATCAGCACATTTACATCTCTGTTCAGTGCTTCAGTCTACACATTTTGCTGATAATTGACCTCGGTTTTGACGGTTGTGTTCACAGAGAATGCACAGACACTAACGACCTTACGTTTTATTTACCCTCTGCTTCCCGATTTTTATTGCGGCGCAAATAGATTACTGTCCATATTTCGCTATCTAATCCGTTTTACTTTTTGCTCTTCACTTCAGAGTAGCCGGGCATCCACTGGCTCAGAATGAGAAATGTCTACATATGTTCCTGCAGGACAAATTGATCGACCGTCACTATAAACCTAGCAAAATGCGCAATTGGTGATCTCTTCCAGAACTGCCGTTTTCATCTAGTTCGGTCATGAATAGGGATGTCAAACCAACGGAAACTCCTTTCACTACACACACACATTTGCGATCGTTACTCCGTAATCTGTCGCTGGATCCTTTGTTCCATTCATCACTGTGTATAGTTGATTTTAATGTCCCCTACTCTTGCTTACGTGGTCTATTTTCAGTTTTCCGTTCTTCCTTCATCTTCACTTCATCCTGCCATTCAATGTCAGACTTGTCTCTACATACTTCTGATTTAGCGTCCTTCCAAGAATTCCAAAGCGTCTTATTTCATATCATTATGGGGACGCTGTAGTCCACCTAAGGCCGCCGCTCCGCAGGGTATGCTTAAGGGCCCATCGTTCTATATGTGTGTTCATCGCGCTTACCGCATCCCATCAGTGTAGTGTGAATGAACACTGCGGCAAAACTTCATTGGACGTGAATGTTGCTACTGGTTAGAGAATTCCATCACGCACTCATCAGACGGACGCAAGGCATATTTATCTTAGGAAAAATTTACTTCAGCTTTACCTGATCAAAAGATGATCAACGGCCAGCCTTGACACGCGTTCTCGGTTCGCTTCGATACACATTTTACACATCTACTTTTCGCTTTCCACCTATGTGCCTGTAATTTTGCGCTCACAATGAGCTGATGATGCTTTTACACCACCAGTTACGTGTATGTTGCTTTCCGGGAATTTTTAACGCAAAAATCCATTAGAGTAGCTGCCTGTTGGCTTTGGTCTTTTGTTGACTGGTTACAATTGGCATTCGTCAGGGTTGTCCAATTACGCCAATTTTCTTCTACCTCGTCGTGGGTGTGTTTTCTTGCGGAATCTCACGGTGCAAGCGTTGAGATGCTACCTGAGGAAAATCTAGTTGACCTTGATCATGCAAACGATGTTATCTTGCTGTTTAACGATGTTGGGGCAGTCACTTCAACCTCTCTAGGGCAGTCTCATCATTTGGCTTTCACTTCGCACCCTTAAACTGTTGTTGCAGGGCCATCAGCCACTTGATGACTCTTCGACACTTGATAGTAAGGAACGAGGTCCTTGATCAATTTACTTACTTTGGCAACTGCATTAGCAGCATTGGGCGTGTGTCTACTGCAGTCAGTCCACATGTTGGTAAGCTAGAATTGCCTTGCTCTCTTCAACATTTGTGGCATCAGTAAGTGATTCCCCTCTGCCTGAAAGGCCTTGTTTACAATGCCACATTGAGGGCCGTCCTACTCTTTGGGAGTGAGACTTGGCTTCTGTCTGAGAATATACGGTGCATTCAAATCTTTGATCATCGCTGTCTGCGAAGCATTGTTGGTGTCGGATGGTACCTGCGTGTCCGCAACGATGATGTGCGTAGTGGAGTACTAGGCAGGGATAATCATGCTAGCTCCCTAGAACAACAGATAGCACTGAATCATTTGTGTTGGCTTGGGCACCGCTGGTCACCACTTACCGAGGAGGGCCTTGTTTGGTCTTCCAGATGTAGGGTGGCGCAAGGCTCGCGGTGGACAAATATTGACTTGTCATTGGGAAATGAGTCATGACTACCAAACTTGATAGCCTTCCACGCTTAGTCCACGTGATTCGCCTTGTGTTTTGCTTGAGACCTAATAAGACATGGCTCGTTGTCGACAACAGTAGTGTGTCTGCAATCGTCTCCTAGTCGAAGTGCCTGTTTAACGTGTGTTTGGTTCTGAGTTATATGCTGGTACTGGCTGATTATAACGCGGATCATTGCAATCCGCAAGGAAGCTGTCTCGCCGATGCCGCCCTACCTTTGCACGATAGCCAGCTGTTTGTAACGATATGTTGTTGACAAGATGTAGGCACCTTGACCCTGATTTCAGAAAACTTGGTAGACGACCGGTTATGTATTTATGGTAATTCCACCTTGACCCTGAGTTTTTGTTTATGGCAATAATGTTTTAAACCATTTTCCCCTTCTGCACCCCTTGTTACTCTCCGTTCCATAGGTCACCTTGTTTGTTTGGCAGCGAAGCATCTGTTCAATTGGCTGATCTATTGCTGCTGTTGATGATGATTCCGCAAGCGTTTGTCCTGATCCAATGTTTCTGCTCAGAAGGTAGCGCGTGGTCTGAACTACACCCTTTCCTTCCACATTAAGGTTACTGTTCTGGCTAAGTTGGTGTGCAGCGGCTTGATTACGGGGTTCACTCTGCTCTGTACTTTGCGATCAATACGTGGCCGCGTTCCTTTCGCGATTTACAAGCTGTTACTGTGAATCCAGTTTTCCTTTGTATCCATTGCTGGCTTGTCGCCTACTCTTTGAAAGTTCTGTGTCCTAGTGATTTAACACTTCTCTTTGTACCCTCATGTTACCCATTGCTTCTGTGTTCCACAGTTGTTTTACCTGAATGCCTTTTTCTGCTTAATTCCACATGTGCCTTTCACCACTACTTTTCTGCTTGGCGCAGTGTTCCTTATTCTATAGTCATCGTAATTCATACAACATAAAGCTACTCTCCAATGTTGCTTATACCGGACAGTTTGAGATAAAACAATGTGCACAATATGCGTGCCTCAGTCCAAGACTGTCGATCAATTTGGAGCGCTCGCCTGGATTCCGACTATGCCATAATGCGCTTACGCCTTGCGTTCACTCTTCTCGCCTCAAAGAATCATCTAACTTCGAAGTTTCCAAATTAAATGAATAAAGACTATTTTCTCGACAACGCGAGGCACGCCTGAGTAGACATGATCAAATTAATACCATTACGACCGTAGCCGGGAGGTAACGAGCTTGTCTAGTAATCTGGCGGCGCGGGTTCGAACCTGCGTAGGGACAGGGCGGCTCTCACAGTATCCTAGCCCACTTGCGACCGGTGTTGGTTGTGCGGCAGCGAACCGTCCATATCGTATACCGGCGTACTGATGATTCTTTCTCCTTTTTTCAATACTGTCACGAATGATTGGCAAATGTTGCAAGGTTACCAGTAGCATATTTGATGTATACGATATGTATGTGTATGTTGCTGAGGCTGATGTTGCGTTCATGATGCTTCCTCACCGCAGTTGGGCTAAACCAGCATACCCTTAAACTAGGACTTCTTACGCTGAATTCATTCCACTTTATCTGCTTTGTTCTGTCTACCCGAATAATTAACTTGCACATGTTGCTTTCGCTAATTGTGGTTTTGTTCTTTAATTTTATTGCGTTTGTAACATTTTCTGAGTAACTTGTGGACAATTTGTACCTATCGCGGGTGCGTTGCTAACCAACTTACTTCATATGCTAATTTAGCGAAGAGTTATGTCGCCATAGCCGTATGCTTTAACAGATATATTTATTTGATGATGTCATTTCAAGTGATTGGCTGTTGTTTGATATCCCTGGTGTGGCTGAGCTTGATGTGCATGTTGACAAGGTGCCTACCTGTTTAATACCCACTACCTCGTCCATACTGGCTCCAGGAGACAGTTGGTCGTTGCTGGAGGGGACAGGATACACGGTCCTTGTGGCCCTGCTAGGCTCGCACTCAGTGTATAGCGGACTACGGTCCAGCCACCGCCTTGTGTGCGGTTGATTCCCCAAATACAGCGTGCTTGTGTTTGCCTGTGAAGGAGTGTGGGCCGGCTCCGTTGATGAAACGTAGCTCACATCCACATGCCTCCCGGTCTTATTCCTTCGGGTCTACACTGGATATGGGATGTGTGGTTGGAGCTGTGGGTGGTGCAGCGCAAGCCACCTATGGTCCCTCTGTAGGCGCAGGCGTCCTGTGGCTGGCCACAGTGACAGGCAAATCCGAAACCGGATGCCTCCAACCATGTGTATAGTAATGCATGATACTTTAATTGAACAGGGTCTGCAATTTGGAGCAATATGCAGTGACTAGATACTTCTATCTCAAAGGAATGTCACCATCTGAAATCCACCACGATATGCTCAGTACATTGCACGACAATGCCCCTTCATATGTCACAGTTAAACGTTGGATGCAGGAATTGCAGTGCGGCAGAAAGAGTATTGATTATGAGCCCAAGTCAGGGAAACCATCAACAGCCGCCACTAAAGAGAATGTTGGCCTGGCAATGCATATGATCATGCAGGATCGCCGAATAACAACTCATCAGCTAGCACAGAGGTTGAGCATCTCCCAGGAGAGTGCAGTTAGTATTCTGATGAAGGAGTTAAGCTACTCAGAAGTTTTCGGTTAATGGGTATTACGTCCTCTGACTGTTGAGCAGAGGCGCATTCGACATGTGATGTCAAAGAACAATTTGGTATTTTTTGAGGCAGATGCGCGATTCCTTTCTATGGACGAGTACTGAGTTCACCACTTTCAGCCAGAAAGAAGAGAACGATGGAAGCGTGCATCATCTACACCAAAGAAGGCCATGGTTACGCCGTCAGCTGGCCAAGCGATGGTATTTGTTTTTTCGGATTTCTCATGTGTGCTGATGATTTTTCTTTCTTGGAAGTGGTCATGCCATCACCGGAAAGTGCTATTCTGAGCTTGTGAAACGTCTCAGATAAAAATATCGAGTAAAGAAGCCAGGAATGCTGACGAGAGGAGTCATTTTCCACAGTGACGACTCTCCAGCTCACACGTTCTGTTGCTCAGTAAACAATACATGCTTGCGGCTGCGAGCTCCCCCACCCTGCCTATTCACCAGATCTGGATTCCTGACTTCCACATATTTCCAGTCTTAAAAAGCTGTAGCTGGCAAACATTTTTTCAATGACATTGATATCATTGGAGCTGTAGAAACATTTTTAGAGACCCAATCTAAAGAGTTCGTTTCCACTGGGACAAAGGCGCTTCAGCAGTACTGGAACAAGTGTGTTGCGCTTGAGGGTGATTATGTTGGAAAAGAAAAGCACCGAAATATCTGTATCTCGTTTGGTTTTCTAAAGCTCGAAACTTTCCGTTCACCCTATGTAAAAGAGCAGCGACAGCTTGCCGTAAATCCTCACTCTGCCTCAGCTACGGGCGTAAAACGCTCGGATAATATTTGCAAA